TGCATTTGTACATCGCAGGCTACCCTATATCCATACACTCGCGGATGCTGTATCTGAACTGGTCGGCAATTCCTTCTCCACGCTTGGGTTGGATTGCTAGAATCACAAGAGTTTACTTCATTGGTGATACTAAAAGGGATAAAATCAAAAAAGTATATGAAAATCCATCGCGCTTGAGATAAACATCTCTCATGCACTCCTGCTAGTCCTTCTCCTACAGTTTCCCTCCCCGCTATGGTTCACGAGAAATCCTGCTTCTTGCTAAAATTGAAAAATGTTAAAAAACCCAACCCACTGAGGCCCAGACCGAGTCGAAGAGATAGAAAAAACCCACGCAATACATGTCAAGCAGTCATTCGGTGCTTGGGACACGGAAATGATCGTTCCACAACCAGGGCAATTCCAAACATCGCTAATCATGGCTTCCCAGGAAATGAGTTTGCACCGCGGGCTGGGTATGGATCTCTGACCTGCAGTAAGGCTCTCTCACGGTAAAATCTCTTTTGAAAAGGAAAATTATTTAGCATAGAAAATATCCAGCGTGGTATCGAAGCTGAGGAGTCCCGGGCTCTAGAAATGCGAGAGAGAACGAATCCTTATACACCTATCATAAGCAATGCGCCCGGGCAAGAAGGCCCTTGATATCAGAATCCCCAGGCACAAAAAAGTTATTTTCTCAGATTAGGAGGTCATCTGCAGCAGTGTTCCATATGTGGTCACAAGGGCAGGGAAGGATTCCCAGCCTTGTCGTTATGTGCTCTGATGGCGAGCCAACAACTTCAAGGTAGGCACCTGGAAAATTTGATGTTAACTGGTGACGCAAGTACAAATGATACTTAACAAATATTCAAGAGCCTTCAGTACTGGTTTGAATTCCGAGCATGAAAGAAAACACCACCGTGCTTGCTGGGAAAATGGTGATCAGATGTCAACCATCAGTCGTAGTTTTATTGATATCAACCAACTGCACTGACTTTCATTTCTCTTCATTCCAACACTCTTATGCCGGCATATGGCTAGGCTACAAGGCGTACTTCTATTACGATCTGTCTACCTTACTGTTGGCTGCCTTTGGGCGACCGGAGGCGGCCCGGTTCCCGTAGCACAGCCTCTCTGCAGCCTCACTCTCTATTTGGGAGCTAGTGCTATCGTATTCACGAAAGAAATGTAAAAATACGTGTTAGAATATCGTCATTCATACTTTTACCTTCTTTTTTTACTCGCTTGGTTTGCTTCCAGTCATGGGTCGCAGCTCTGACGAAGAGGGCTCATCGAGGCACTAATAATGTATGTAGACAACTGAACAACAAAAAAAGACGTCTCGTATACTTATTTACATAAAAAACAACTAAGAAGAATGGATATAGAGAGATAAATGGCAGATCTTGGCTGTGCACAAACTACCGCCGAAATGCTGTGTTTAAAAACGGGACCGTTGCACCCTATGGCAGAAACTACACAAGATTGGGCAGTAATGCCTGCAGAGAGGCTGGCTTAGTGATTATATTGAGCTTTGAACTTGAATTATGATTTATCACCCTGCTTGGTGTTGGAAATCTGTAATAAATCTGGACGGCGTATACCATTGTGAGAGCGAGTCACATATCTAGGTATGTTCAAGTTATACTTGGGCCTTGCCTCTCGACATAGACAGGCAGCACCACGTTTGGCAATTTTTCAAGCGAAGCTGAAGAATCTCAATGTACTGTGTTGTGAACATTATGTTTTGCGCAAAAGTGTACAGTTTTCCCTGTGCTTAGGGCTTACGATTACACAGAGTATTTTGGTCATTCAAGCCATCTTTCGGATGAGGGTCGTGAGGCTGAGCACATGAGATTTATTCCTCACTATTTCAAAGTAATATTTTGGAGGGAGCCAAGAACCACTAAAGGGAGGGAGATACATGTTTTCCCTTGACGATTGCGGTTTTCTGACCCGAAAGGCAGGCAGCATGTGTCACTAAGTAAACAACAAAGTAAATACTAAAGCGAGAGTGCTCTCTCGAATACAGACTGTGGATAATGCGTATTACTACAGCATATATACGAGTACACGCTTGCCAAGTGACCAGTGGCGATTTAACAGGCTCAAGGATTGTTCGATCTCGTCTCGAATACCGAATTTTTGAAAATAAATTTCGGTCCTGGTTCAAATCAGGGCCTTCACGTGGTCTTTCGCCTCCTCTCAAAGCTAGTTGAGGCCATTAAGCGAGTTTAGGCTATTCGCCTCGCCTGAAAGACCTTGTCCTGGTGGCTTTGGAGTTCTTACAACGGGGAATCATCTGCATGAAGTCAGATAGGAAGGTGGTTCTCTCGTCATGGCACATTCGGCTGTCCCGTGATTTGGCTGGGTGTTCCGGAAAGAAAAATCGCTGGTGAAGTGTGATTTCATTATCGAAACAGTTTTTTTTCGGAGGCAATCACACAGCCAAGTCCGATCTAGAACTGGTATTCGCTTGCAGCGCTGACATCCCTCATATTTCCCCTTGTCACCCCTGATCCTTGAGCTTATTGCCACCTGCCTTTACCTTGAGATCCATCCTCCGTCCCGGATTCTACAGATTAGGTTATTAGCGCCAGGGGTAAGAGATCCGTAGACTTGGATACAACCGTGCGTCTTGGTTTCCGAAGCGCCTGTCGCGATTGTCGAGACTGGGTCTTGGAGAGCTATGAGAAGAGTGAGATCTGGTAAACTGAGACGGCTGGCCTAAGCCGGCTGGCCCTCATATTCCCAATAACTTTTCCTTGCAGTCTCATCGACCCTGTGAATACTTTTACAAATGAGAAAAGTAAAATGTGCCGCCTAAGACCTCAAGGTTTCCCTTCTGCATGGAGGCAGAGATTTACAGCGGGTTCCTCGGTCCCAACCGAGGGAACATGAAACACGGTAGAGGCATGCATTTGATCTTGTCTTCGCCAAGAACGAGAGCCCCACGGCATGGAATCTTTGAGTCGGTCTAGACCACAGACTCTGTTCGGTATTTGCCAGACAGCGAATTAAACACAGGCGGGACTGCTGGTAGATACGTAGATACGCCTGCTGCGTTGTATGCAGTAGCGTGTAGGACGCAGGATAGGGGACCTATGACTCGGAAGTGCGCCTCGAAGAACCACGGCTATCGTTTCTGTTTGTTTTCCTCTTCCCCCAGGTCTTGCCTATACCCCTTACTGGCCACCTAGGGTGCAAGGATCTCAAATGATGCTCTCTCTGGAGTAATGGGCTGTTTCATTGATCAATCTTCAGAGTGCACTCGAGAGAGGCCTCCGTCACCATGATCTGGATGTCCTCATGAGACAATGGCTGGAAGCCCGAAACGAAAGGCAGAAACGACAGCAATGCTTAAGACGCTTGGTATTGCTCCACAGGACCTCTGGTCGCTATGGAAGACGCGAAGCTCAGCTCTCACCGTGAAAAGTGTGATTAATGATCGAGTGACCTGCCGCAGTCGTGTTGCATGATATTGGCGTTAACGATGGCGTCTTCAGAAACACAGCCACTGCTTGGCCTTCATCCTTCGCAGATCAATTGGGGATAGCCAGCACGTGCCTGAGCTTTTTGTTCGAGGATGTGGGGAAGGAGCATGAGGGCAGAATAAAGTGTACCTGTCAAAAGACAAACCGAAAGTCCTGGGAAGTACTGATTATGAAGAAGGGGCGCTATTTTACACGCAAGTGTCCTGTCCAGCTACCTAGTATGTACCTCTGTTATCCACTAGCTCTGGTCCCACCCCATTGGAGACTCGAAGGGTCCAGCGACTAGAGCATGACCTACCAAGGCCAAGCTTTCTCCAACCCACAGTTAAGATTTCTGGTTGAGTTTCTGTAACAGCCACAGACATGCGGCAGCGAGCCAACAGAGCCAGTGACACGCGCCAAGAGAACCTAACACTGCAGCCCGCACCCGTTTCGCCCTTCTAGTTGTTCGTCCAGGCGAGTCTGGACTCCTTGGCCGATGCAACGCCACTGCTGAGCCGTCAATGCGCAGCTAGCACGTCTCCCCCAACATCGACCGTTGCTGCCCCACCGGCAGCCCACACCGGTGTCCCCTGGCAGCAGGGCTGATGGAAGATCTCAATCCTCAACCGTCGCTTGAAGACCCCAGAAAAACCCACTACCGTACGACCCCCTTCCCTCCCCCGCTTATCAGCTCGACGAACGTCTCGTCTCCTTTTCGCTCGCGCAATCTCCCGCTCCCTGGAGTGCCCCAATGCCCTTCGCTTCGATCGCTCTTGGCCCAAGGCATGCAACGGTTATATGTCACACTTAAGGGAGCTGGTAGCATGGCGATTCAAGTGATTGGCATCGATGGCGTGCACGCCATGAATTAAGGTTGCCCCCGTCATGCGCAGAACCCCAACCTCCGTAGTGCTTGTGCTACCTGAGAAAGTCTTTCTTCTCTCAACACGACTAGCGTGCCAGGTACATCTCAGCCAGTCCTCCGTATTACCCTGAGTGTCATCACATTGGCTATCCCTCGGTGGGCCAAAGTGGTCTACTCCGCCTGGGGAGGAAGGGTGGTGCATCCGATGACAAGTACAGTGGAGAAGACGAATGATTGTGATGTAAGTATGTGAGTGAATTTATCCTGTTGTAACTCCTTCCTTCTCTTCTTAGCTTTCGTGCATGAATGAATCCCTGAAACCATTACTCTGAGGTTCATTATGCAACATCCCAAACCCAACATGCAAGACTAAATGACAAAAACAAGGAAAAGTAAGAAAAGGCTGCTCATCAACTGTTCGTCCAAGAGAAATACAAAACTCCTATCGCCCGAATCCCTCGGCCTGAACAGACCAAACCCAAAACAAGATGAAAGAGATAGAACTACAAATGCCCTACAGGTCGCTCGGTCAAAAGCCGAGAAAAATGACAGACCCAGTAGAACGGGCAGTGAAGATGAAGAAGCAAAAGGGAGCTGAAATAATGAAACAAATACCACCAAGCCCCACAATGCCGTGTCAGATGTCAGAGCTCTTTTAAGGGGAACTTTTTTTTCTCTCCTTAGGCGTTGAAGGCTCGCCTGCGGGTGTTCTGTGCAAGCCTGCTGACGGTCCTGCTGACGACCTGGAGGATGTTCTCCTCCCCGGGCTTGTTCTGCGTGAAGCGAGAGTTGAACTTGACGATGCGCTTGAGCGCTCGGTACTTGTCCGCGGAGACGTAGATCGGCTTGGCGGCGACATTGAATGTGACCTCCTCGGAGCAGGGAGGGGTGGTCAGGGACCCGCCGTACTGGTAGACGTCGGAGCGCCTTAGGTGCTCGCGGAGGCCCGCAAAGTCGAGCGAGTTGGTGACGCCCTGCTGGCCCGCTTCAGGGATGGCGCCCAGGCCGTCGAGGGCGTTGCTGATGACCTGCGTGGGCTGGTCGCTGCCGCCGGCGATCTCGATGAAGAAGCCGATCACGGCCAGCTTCTTGTTGCCGTTCTCGAAGACGAAATGCACCTCCCCGGCGAAGTGCTCGCCGTCGAGGTGGTGCTCGCTCGGGGTGTGGAAGTGGAACTGCCTCAGGACGTAGGAAGGATCATTTAGGATAGTCGCAGATCCGTTGACGGTGGTTTGGACGGTGGTGCCGAGGTTCTGAATGGGAGCACCGTAAGGGTAAGAAGGGATGTTGAGGCCATAGGATCGGCCGGGGACGATGGTTCGCTCGGAGCGGACGACATTGATGGGCGACTGGGCCTTTCCAGTAGCACAGAGCTTGTTCTTGCTGTCAAGAGCATGCCAGTTGATGGCGCCCTCAAGCTCATGGTACCCGAAGCTTCCCTCAGCTCGCTCAGCGAGTCCAAGGTCACGAGGTCCCAGAGATGTGCCGTAATGGCAGATAGCAGTGGCCACTGAGGCAAAGGGGAGGAGGAAAGTGAATGACTTCATTGTGAATAAAGTTGGTGTATGCTCGGGAAAGAAGCTGGAATAGTAGCGTATTGTGAGGAGAAAACGGTCAAGAGGAAAGATTGGTTGATGAAGAGCTTGTATAAGGTCTAGATTGTTGGATAATTGTTTGGTGTCTGATGCTGATAGAATTCTACCTCTTGAAGGGAGGCATCCATCGGTTTTATAAGCCCAACGACATTGACGCCCTACCGCGAAGGCTCGGATAGCCAGGTAGAATTCTTAGACCTAATAGCCATGAAACGGAAGGAAGAAAGAAGGTGATCCCCGTATGGAGCGCCAAGTATAGCATGTAGAGGCTAAGATGCTCGAGGCAAGTCGGCGCTCCGTATCGGCAGCTGTGTGGTCCCCGACTTCAAAGTCCTGGTTCCTCCATCATAATCTTTCCCATTGCAACTTGCCAAGCATAGCCTGTTCGCCTCTGGAAGAACCGGGGGACCCCTTGTCGGTAGACCGCGGCATATAAGCAACTGGCGTGGTCCTGGTTGGTAAATGATTGCAGGGTCCGAACGAATAAAATGACGGCGACCGAAAGTCCCACACCCACACTCGAGCCCTGGTCAGTCGTCGTAGGCGGTCGTCTTCTCCTCGGTTAGCATAGCCCTGATACTACTTAATTCTTTGTAATTCTAGCAATTGAGAAACCCGTACTCTGGAGAAAGAGAGGCAAATAAGCAAGACCGTGTTCCGTTCAATGTTGCTTGGTGAGCTACCTTCAAATGTTGCGTCCGTCCATCCACGTACACCGCCCTCCAGCCAACAAGACAGAGACCAGCGAGGGACTTGTGTAAATCGAGAAAGGATGGAGGAAAGTCACGCGGAATCGCTCATGGGTAATTGCCGTGAGAGCTGCGCGAATTGCCAAATTTAGGCGGCTGCCTTTGTATCGTAATCTGCCCACAGCCTCGCCTCACCCTCTCATCTCATCCTGCTCTGCATGAATTGACTGTCCGCCGAGTTATGGAATTGAATGGTATTTTGGAGGTCGAGGCTTGCGTACTGCTCTATCTGGTGTATTGGCTGGATCAGGGCCGGGGCGGCGACATACGGCCTGCCTGGAGCACTCTCTTCACGATTTCTTCTCCCCTATTTCGTATAGGCACCTTCCTAGATGCCGTACTTTCTTATCAGAGTTGGAGCGGGCGATCTAGCCAGCAAAGCAGAAAGTTTGATTTGGGAATATTAGTAGATTTCTGACCGCGATTGGTCAACCGCCAATGATAGCAAGAAGACTTTCACTCAACCTTTTGCTGGACATTTGGCTTCATACTAAGGTACTTGGCTCGCAGGAGTATGCATTCACTAGCTGGTCTAGAGCATGCTGCCTATCTTCTTCTAACTCCAGCCCAGCGATGGATTGTTGCCAAAAAAAAATCATCACGCGTGTGAATATATTGCAGAGAGTAAGGGTTAAGGGTCCCAGATTCACTTTCCAAAGTCCCTCCACCTGGCAGGCACAAGTTTGATGTATACCAGTGCTGTATTGCGTTCTGTTCTCCAGGCTTTGAATCCGGTGATTAAGTTTCTCATTTGATTGAACTTCAGTTCTTGTATATTAGACCAAAGAATAAAAATAACCCTGAGGATGCTGTTAGGGACACATCGTCAGCCGCTTTCCCAGGATTCTAAAAAGTCAACTCGACCGCGGCCCATCATACTAATAATATGACCATATAGTACTTTCGTCTAAGGTTGTGGCACTCGAGCTTCATTCAGGGAAAGATCCGTCGGTTGGTGCTCTTGCGACTCTTCATTTCATGGCCCGACGGAAAAGGGGGCATGAAATTGATTGTATCTAATTCTAGTCGCTCCCAGAGAGCATCCGAGAGGGTCTTCTCTGTTCGCACTTTCCGACTTCCCTCACCCTCATGTGTATCTTAGGGGGAAGCCAAGCTGAGAGCCAGCCCTCACTTTTGCTCCAATCCATTGCTGTGATCCGAACTGAGCAGCCTAGTAAGGAAAAGTCAAGACGCAAGTGTGCAGCGCTGCTCTCCATTGGCCGTTCCCACAGGAGGCAATCATTTGATGACCTTTCTTTCTCCCCGCAACGGGAAGATGCGAAACCGAGGCGACTGGTGACAAGAAAAAACGACGTTTTTAAATCCTCCATCAGCTTTAGCCGGCATTTAGCTTAGGTTCATCGCCTCACCTCACCCAGATGTGGTTTGGTGAGCGAGTGGCAGCAGCGCTTCGGCAGCAACGTCTGTGTTGTTGGCGGTTGTCACTCTGTTCCACATGGTTCCTAGCTACATGCCGACCTTCCGCCTTGGCAGCTTGAGCCTCGACCTTGCACAATCATTGACCCAAAAGTTCGGCACATCCTGCCCATATTCGCCGTTCATTGGCTGGTTCCCCTGATTGTGGAGAGGGACTTCAGAACCCTGTATGACTTCCCACGAATCGCTGCGAGTGTTTTGCACGATACGCCTCGAATAAAGTGCCCTTGACCGAAAGTCCACATGGACATGATTGTGCCACAGCTGAGAACATCATTCGGCACATTAACCCATTCATGGAGTTGTCCGCCTCGGCTAAAGGGCTGCTTCTCTTCATGTTCGTTATATCTGCCCCCCATTAGTTAAGGGCCAACAACTTCTTTACGGCATGCTTCCAAATGGTTGCTTATTCGCCACTTGCTGTCGCAAGTGAATATTCCAGATACAAAAAGAGGCGGCAGCTGAATTAGAGACTCCACGGGACGAAGAGGTCCCGCCAGACGGGCCAAGGTCTGACTGACAGGGCCCCTTGCCCCCTTCGCCTCGAGCTATTTAAACGGCTTTCTCGCACGTAGCTCGAGTCTCACACCAAGTGTTGCTAGAAGGCTTTGGACCATCGAGTTCAGCGTCAATAGCGGGGTGCATGTACATCTCTTCAACCTTATCTAGTTGCCTAAATTCGACTGCGATCGTCGTGTTCGTCTGACGGTGCTTCTTTAGCGCCACTGCATACGGCTCAGGCCAGGCACACTTGGCATTACTTGCACGGGATGTCCGGGCTCAATGCTGCGTGAGCCCAGCAAAATGCGAGGTCCTTGTGCGTGTGCATTTGAACGAGGCAGTCTTCAAGTAAGAGGATCTGGGATTCCAGAAACTCGTCTCGGCAAGGATACGGAGAGCTGCCTCTCGAGTGTTCCTTACATAGCTCCCATCCTAACCGAACATGCCCTAAACATTATCAGAGGTCGGCGAGTTCTATCTGTTCTGTCCGTCTCTTTGCAAAAGCAAGCTCATCTTCATTCGGCGATATCCCATCCACTCCGTTCTTCAATGTCATGAGATGCAGGGGTGAGCGACATGCAGATTGCTAGTTTTCTCTGATGTAGATTTGGTTGGCTCTCGCTTTTCAGCTGATAAATACTCCTCGTCCCGTAGTAGAAGGCCCGAACACTTCGGATTCGTAATATGAAAATATCTCGCTGAGACGCGAGTGACATTTTGACGCGCACCAACCGTCTGTAACTGTCGTATATGCTTCATCATCGACCTTGACCCGAATCTGCTTGATGGATGCAGAGCACGCTAACATATACGGATGCTCGGGAAGGGTGCAGACACGAGGTCTCACTAATACCGCCAATTGGCCGATTCAGGGAATCTTTTAGCCTCTTAGGTGCTTACCGGCGGATATCTCTTGACATTGCATTTACCGGCAAGCTAGTCGGGATCTAAAAGTTGATGGGTGTGTCAAGCAGTGAAAATGGCTGCATGTTCTTCGTAGCGCACCCATCCAGAACAGGCAGAACTCTAAAGCAGTCAGAGGTTTGTCAAAGGTCCATCTTCATCATAGTTTACGAAGCACCATCAAATATTACTAGCTTGTTCTAATCAGAGAAATACTTACATGCCAAGTGCATCTTCATACTTGTAGCATTTCCCGGCCCCCCTCACTAAGGTGGTCCTCAATAAGCCTTCCGCCAAACGATTTGCCTCAAACCGAATCCGAAGGATGCGGCTGTTAAAACCTAACTTCCCGTTGTATCCGGCCACAATTTCTAAAAGCTTAGAAGCTTCTTAACCTGCTAAAACTAGATAGAAATTCGAGCTGGTAAGCGCTAACTAATAAGCACGGCTCTTTTCTTATACAAGGGATGACTAGCACGCCACCTCAAGCTTGAATCCCCCTGTCGAAGGCGAAGATCTTACACTAGCTTCATCATCAATCTCCACAGTCCTACTCTTTTCCTTGGATGATCTGTTCGAACCACGCGGAGAAAGGTTGCATGTTGTCTTTCACCAACCGTCTGGCTTACCTGTGGCTCTTGGGGATCAAGGCTCGTGATGACGACTCGTCTTGTAGTGTCACTATCCCACACATGCTCGAATTCTCGCCTGAACTATGCTACAGTAACTCACAAGTTGTTGGGGCTTCTGACGCGAACGCAACCTGAACTTGTCAAAGATTTCTCTGCCTTTCGCAACTTGATATATTTTCTTTTCCCGGTAGCCACCAACTCACCTGACTAATTGTCACTTGCGCTGTGGTTTTTGGTGTTACTTCAGCCTCGAGTTGTTATCACTCCTCCGCACAACACGGTCTCTATAACGTAGGCGATTTTTATTTCTGTTTTAGTTTACTTCAATCATTCATTGAGGAATGAATCCTCAAGAGCCATCCAAATGGTTCCGGCCTCATGCCATGGCTGCCTCAGAACGGCTGCGGAGGAAAATTATAAGTATAAACCTAAGCGGAAGAGAAGAAGGAAGGGAGAAATTGGAACGAAGCGCATGATATTCCTACCGAGAAACAAGATAGAAATTTCGTAAGCGAGGCATTCGCGCTTCACCTCCTCTCCAATCCGCCAAGAAACGTCGCAAAAGCACCCTCCAGCAAAAAGAACCTCACGCGGGACTCGAACCCGCAACCCCGAGCTTACTGATAGAAGGCTCGTACGCTAACCATTGCGCCAGTGAGGCATGTGTCATTTCGGTGCCCCGCAATAATTACTTGAACACTATAGGGTGCTTGCCACAGAAACAACGGAGAGAAGAAAGCTCGCTAGGGATAAGCCAAAAGCTCAGTCTCCTCTCCAAGTTAGTAGAATAATTACTATAATTGGTCTTGTTTTATAATAATTGCAAACTAAGGCTCCTCATCTTCCTCGCCCACTACTAGAGCGCAGCATAGCGGACGCTACAACCACCATAAACAGGGGCTAAACAGATGGACTCAGCATCAATTCATGACTATCTAGAGCTGTGGTAATGGCGTCCGCTACCGCATGTTTCCGTGGAATTTCCTTATTTTTAGGGATCTCTCAAGAATGTTGCCTTACCGTCATGTACTATGCTACTTGTGGCAATAAGCGCAGCATCTTGCTGGTTCCTCTCTCTTTGATTGTGCAAACGCCAGCCAGGCGCATGACCGTCTCTTCAAGTCTAAGGTATATCACAGTACATCAACTAGATGTTTTCACTAGTTGCTCTCCACTCTTCTTCGTCGAAAATATATCACTACAAGTGAGGACTTCATTTGTGGCTGGCAGGCATAGGTATCCCATACGAAGCTATCTGCTGTTGGACGGAGCGATCGCTATGAACCTCTGATCCCCACATAGGCAAAAGTAAGATGACTTGAAAGAGTTGGCATATGAGAAGTTTTCCACGTCATTCGTGATTCATCTAGGTATTTTTTGAAAGCTGCAATTTGTCTGGTAGCTTCAACAAACCCGCGCCATCTCAATGCAGTGGGCTGGTTCGAGAGCGAGTTTACCCCAGAACCAGCAAATATAATATCCAGCCCGTTCTACTCCTGAGAAACGACTGTTTGCTACATGACACATGGCATATTATCAGATTCCCTCTCGGCTCTTGGATAACGCTGTTGTACGCAATGGGGCTGAGCGCTTCCATCCCACACAGCAGCGTTTGAAACATCTAGTGATAGATCATCAGCCATCGAATCCAGGTAGCCTCCCCATACTAGGCGGCGTTACATACACGAATGATCTATTCTTATTCTTTTTCTTGACCATTCTCCTCTCCAAACCTTTCCGGAGTCCTTTCTCTAGACTTATTGGCCGTCAACAAGCAGGAGTGGGTTTGTTTTCCCATGGCCTTTCGCTCATCCACTGGAACAGCATCTCGGCTACATACAGCATTGAATGGGAAGCAAATGTATTGTTGTAGCTTTGTTCAGAATACATGCGAGCTGATTGTGCACCATTGGCCTCCCAAAAAGCCCAGTGTAATTCAATATCCAGAGGCACGGCCAGAAGTCGCGTTCTACACCCTCCTTTTGTCAACGGACCACCGTATCGGACAGGCGATGCTAGGCGTAAGTATCCAAGATCGCCGTATCCCATCCATGCACATTGAAGTTAAGCTGAGTGGCTTTGGCCAACCAGTAAGCAGCAGGTAGCTCGAAAGTGCTCTAAATCAGAATTATTTTTGACGGCAGGTTATCTGCCTTGAATGATCAATGGCCAAGCATCGAGCGTGGTTCTCATGAAATGTGGCACATGTCTCGACCCAGCTCTTGTCCAAAATTTGCCAATGAGAGTATGGCTGCCGTAGCATAAGCATCCGGAGTCTGATTCAATGCCACATTTTGCCTTCTTGCGCCTCAGAGAGGATGCTAGCTATTCATTCTCACATTAGCATTGGCCGTCATTGGTGGACAACAAAATGTCTAGCATACAGGCCTACGACACTCCCGCCAACAACTCACCGTGTCTTTTCCTCTTCTCTCCCTCAAAATAACAAGCAACTACGCGTGCTATCCATAATCTGTTAAAATTATAGCTCACAGGTACGCCGTTATAGACTGAGGCTATTGTCTTCATCGTGAGAGTGTTTGTGACAACACTACCTCTTATACTACTCCTGTATCAACCTTGTAGGCGGGCACGGAATCAACTCAGTCCTGACCCTTGCAAGTTTCTTCGTATTATAAGTTCAACAAACCTTTGTTCTTTTCCCTTGTTTTGATTCGAAAAGGAACATCATACCGAAATTAAGTCTGCATTTGTGAAGATTCCATCGATGACGATGAGAGTGAATCTCATTCTCAGCATCCAAAATCTACCCAATAGTCTGTTATTCCTCATTTATCAATCAGACCAGCTTCCGTTAAATCAGCCACTCTAGTAATTGATAACATGCATTGCAAAACTCTACTCAGGTTGACTTTCCGCGTACAACTCTGAGCGTATAGGGAGAATACAAGACCAATTAGATCAGCGTGGGCTGGCTGGAAAAGATATGGCATTGGTCTCCCTTGAATTAGGAGCTTGTGGTGCAATTAAAATTCCTAAATGTGTGAAATCTGATCCAATCCAACAACCAGACTGGGTGCGACATCTCCTGACCGAATATAGAAATAGATTGAAGGTCCATAGCATTTAAGTTCTCTATTATACTCAAAGTAACTTCTTGTATCTTGTGAATCCTCGAGTTCACACGGTTAAGATCCTAAACCCCTTCCCATCGAATTATCGAATTCACAGAATGAACCCTTCAACTTCATGATACAGAATTTAGGTCGCTCCAGTTTGGTGACATCTCATGGGCTGCTTTTCATCGAGCCTTGGGCCATATCCGTGCAACTAGGTCTCAAACTACGATCTACTTCAGGTAGCTGGTGTCGAGGCATAGATAATCAACCCTACTGGGACCTCAATTCGGTGACATTTGCGTAGACAAATGGTGCTACTCCCCGCAGACCAAAGCCAGAGCAACATGTAGACCACTATTCTAATACTTCGCCAATACATCCAAATGACTTAGAAATCATTCCGATGGTTCAACACTCTCAACCTAGCTGCCTTTATCTTAACACAGTGCCAGCGCTGGTCTACTGTTTCAGCGCTTGGATGACGCCTTGATTATCTCTTCCTTGATGCGCTGATTGCATGAGGGGACCCCGTGTATTTCTACCGTTTGGATAAGGTAAATGTAAAGTTGCCTAGGTCCGCCGGTTGCGACGAATTCTTGATTTGCCCCCTGACTAGTGACCAGCCTCATACCAACCTCAGTTCGACCTAGTCCAGGGTTAAGCTTCCAACTCGTTCTGTTTTCAGCCCCTGAAGATAACTACGTCGGGTGGAAGTTTAATTGAATGCCATCTTTAGTATAAGTCGTCGATACATTAATTACATGCTGTGTGTCTTCTGAAAAGCGCACCCGATGCCTGCGGAAATATCTTACCCTAAACCCGCATGGCAAGCCAGGCTTAGTCTGATTACCTCGACAGAAAGTAGCCAGGCGGAGTTTTCACTGTTATCTCCAGCCTAAAGAGTGGGCAGCAGTATGTCCGTGGGAACTTAAGAGCTATCTAGGCTTCAGGTCTAGGTATAAGTCTATACTGTGTCTACTAAGAGGGAGTGACAACCTAAACCTCCAGCGGCTGGGACATGATTGCTGGTGATTATTTCCATTCACCGCCCCAAAGAAAAAACCCTAGGCGTCCGATAGCCCTGAAGAATTTGGTCGATCGAATTGGAAACCCCCGTCAAACTCGAGAGCTGGATGAAGCCGGTCGCGATATTTGGGTCCCAATGACGTCACAACACCAATCCACCACAACCTCGGCTCCACCTCAATGTTGATTGCCAGATTTGGAAAGAAAACATCGAATCTCGATTCCTGCTGACTAACAGATCTAGGCCTTAACAATCACACCAAGCGCGCCAAGTTGAACTAAGGTGTGTCTCGCAGACCGCAACGGGCCATGAGGGGTCGAAGGTTGGGTTGCAGCAGAAGGCTTACGCTTAATCGAGGAGGGGGGGAGGAAGGGATGGGTATTTGCCAGGAATTCGGGAAGCGCGAGTAAAAATCCCGTCATGGTTTTTTTTTTTCTCTTCTCTTCCCTGCTGGAAGGGAACTGCCCTTTCTCGCCCAATAGAGAGAACCCCACCATCGTACGAGTTTGGGTCCCCCCTATCCTACCAAAAGCAGGATTTTCCCTTGGTCCAAGCATGAATCTGTCACCACGGTATATCCGGAACCCTACAATAATACCGGGGGGTTTTCTTTCCCTTGTGTAAGGGGAGAGTTATCTGGATTCGATCATGGCATAAACCGATTCACCCTGGCGGCTTGGAAAGTGGGGGGTGGCTGCTGTCAGAAAACTCGTGCTGCAGGATGGTTTACAACCATCCCATCCAATCATGCGAACGGCAGAATGACAAACAGGAAAGAGGCCGAGGCCCGATGCTTCGGTTTTGATTTGGCGGTGGAGGGTAAGCGAACTGCATGTATTGCAGTCAATATGGCAGGTCTCACGATTCTTTTCGTTTCGGGGCTACACCATACAAGGGCACGGGCGAGATTCTAGGGTGGTAAATACCACCTCGGCTGCCGACGCATTGGTCCTGATATCCTCTCCAAAAAGCGGAGAACCTAAGCGCGCGTGGGGGGGGGGGAGGAGACATAGATCCAGACAGACTTCGTCACCCCGATACGTGAGCAGTTAGTGTGTTTGAGAGAGATAGAACAATCACTGGAAAGCACGCTGGGCCGTGCGCCTCAGACATCCACGATGCCAAGCAAATATGAGAACCAGATGGAGGGCCCAAACGCGAGTCATAACCCGTACATTTGATGTACCACGTCGGGTCGATCCGATCGCTCAATGACATAACCGAGCCCGTAAGCTCGAGACAAAGGCCAGGTTATTGACTGTAGAAGTGGATTTAATGTTCTGGGTCCCAGTAAGTAGGACTGGATAGGCCTGTGATACTGGGTCTAGGGTATGACAAAGTCTTGGCCACCAGAGGACGGACGCAAACGTGCATCTCGGTGCTGGCTCTAGAGAAAGCCGCTTGCTGGGACTGGTAATGTAAGGTTCAGACATTCGAGTTGGGTGCTCTGAGGCCCCAACTGATGCTAATTCTCGTCGTGGTTTCGACTAGGAGAAATTTTTGACGCGAAGGCTTTCTGGAATCCGGATACAGTCTAGGGACATCTTCCTCGAA